CCCCGCCATTGCCTCGCGGCCTCGGTGCCGCTCCGCGTGCCATCGCCACCCCTGACACGCCGTGTCCCGCGTGGTCCTCCTCCACCCTTCGGCCTCCGCCGCCCTCACGTCCCTCCCCCCAAAACTATCAGCCCCACGGTCATCTTCACAGCCCCCATTCCACGCAGGGGCAAACGCAAGCGTTGTGCGTTTGCAGGGATAGAGGTAGGCGCGTGTTCCCTGCGTTTATCCACGCGCCTCAGCCGCTGCCCACTTTGTTAACCAACAGCGTTTGCATCAACGTGGGTAACACAGGCATCTCTCGTGCGGGATGATCGTGTGCTGAGCAATGTCCGCGAGGGAAAGGAGGCGTGGGGCGAAACGTGGGGGAGACCCAGGCACTGCCCGCCTCCTAGCCCAGGAAAGCTGGGGCTGAGGGTCAACCACACGGTTTCTGTATCTCGTTCGGGTACGGTACTGTCAGCAGTTCCAGGACAGGTGGAAGCCCTCCAAAATCCATCCAGGTTCCCAGCCTGGCGAGGATACCATGTCAGACCTACTCTTTTCCTCACCCTTCTCCCTGGAAATGCCTTTAGTTCACCTTTGCCTTTTTTTGTTTGTTTGTTTGTCCTGGGGCCTGAACTCTGGGCCTGGGCGCTGTCCCTCAGCTCTTCAGCTCAAGGCTAGCGCTCTGCCACTTGAGCCACAGCACCAGTTCCAGCTTTTTCTGCTTATGTGGTGCTGAAGAATCGAACCCAGGGCCTCATGCATGCAAGGCAAGCGCTCTACCGCTGAACCACTTTCCCAGCCCGTTCACCTTGCTTTTAAGGTGTGAGAAGCTTTACATTAGCATTTTTCTTTCAGCATTTAAGAAAAAGTTGTCTTTCCATTTCTATTGTTTTGGGGATTCTGAGTTTCTGTTGAGAAGTTAGGGGGTCTGGAAGTGTGACTCAACTGGCAGAACGCCTGCCTATCAAGTGTGAGGTTTGAGTTCCAACCCCAATACTGCCATAATAAGTGAATAAGAGCACCATTCTGCCTGGTATTGGTATTTTATGCCTATAATCCTAGCTACTCAGGAGGATGAGATTTGAGGATCAAGGTCTGAAGTCAACTTGAGCAGGAAAGCTATTGAGACTCTTATCTCCAGTTAACCAGCAAAAAGTAGAGTTATGGCTTAAGTGGTGGAATGCCATCCTTGAGTGAACAAGCTCAGGAACAGTGCTCAGGCCTTGAGTTCAAGCCCCAGTAATGGCACAAGAAATAAAAATAGAAACTGCATTCCTGTGTGCTGCAGGGCTCGAAGCTTGAACTCCCTTTGTGGCTGACAAAGGGTCTTTTTGACAACAAACGACGCATCCTTTCTGTGGAGCTTCCCAAGATCTATCAGGAAGGCTGGAGGACTGTGTTCAGTGCAGATGCCAACGTGGTGGACCTGCACAAGATGGGGCCGTATTTCTATGCATTCGGCTCACAGCTCCTGCACTTTGACGGCGCAGAGAACCCGGATATTTCCCAGTCCCTGCTGCAGGTAAGAACTTCCCTGAGGATGGGTGCCGTTGAACATGTTTGGCCACCACAGTCAATTTTCTCTAGGGAAGCATATGAACTTAGTTTGTCGTTCATTTAGGTTGCAGTCTGATTATACTATGTCTGCCAGTTAGATTTTTTTTTAATTTAAATTTCCTTTAGTTTTTAACCAATATACAAAGACATAAAAGTTCAACTGAGGATGTAGATTAGCAATAGATCACTTGCCTGCCACATTTGAAGCCCCAAGTTTGAGCCAGCCCCAGCACCACAGAAATAATGAAACAAAACAAAAAGCTTGGAAGTTGCACATATTCATAGGATGCTGTGTGATGTTTCTATACGTGCAAATATGTGTTGTTCTTGTCCAGTTGAACTGCGTTCTTCTCAAATGGGAACCATTTCTTTACAGTAAAGTTTTTTGTTTTTTTTTTAATACTTACTGCCTTTTGAACTGTCAGGGTCATTATTGTCACCCTGTTTAGCTGTCTTCCTCCTGAGTGTAATGTGTGTTTAATATGATTGTCTGCTGCTCTGTCTGCTTCCTGAGAATTGGGACTAGCAGGCAGATCAAGAAATGGTGGGCTACAGGTGACAGGCACATATATACACCGTCCTAGCCTGTCACAGGCCTACACAAGAGTTCCTGTTGGAAACTTATGTCATTACTCATGATCTGGTCTGTTCCTTGTAGGGCTGACTTGGCTCCCCATGAGTAGGTACATGACTGGCTCAAGCACTATGACCTTGCTGGGTGTCAAATGAGCGAGTCAGAATTTCAGAGTTAGATAAAAAACCATGCAGAAGCCAGGCACTGGTGGCTCACACTTAATTCTTACTACTCAGGAGGATTAGATCTGAGGATCAAGGTTCAAAACCAGCCTGGGCTGGAATAAGCTTGAGACTCATCTCCAGGTAACCACTGAAAAGCTGGAAGCGGAATTGTGACTCAAGCAGTAGAGCACTAGCCTTGAACAAAAACACTCAGGGACAGCACTCAAGCCCTGAGTTCAAACCCCAGGACCAGCATAAAAGCAAACAACAACAACAAAAATCCCATGCAGAGCCATTTAATTTTTTTCCTTTTTTTAATTGTGAAAATACCATACAGAGGGGTTACAATTACATGGGCAAGGTAATGAGTACATTTCTTATCAAGCATTGTTGCCTCCTCCTTTGTTTCTCCTTTCCCATCTCCCCCCTTCTGCGCCCCCCCTCCAAAGTTGTAAAATTTGTTTTTCAACATAGCGTATTGTACATCTCATTGTTGCAATGGGTCCACCTGTATCCCTATTTAAACAATTTGTTTTTTCCCTTCCCCTCCACAAATTATACCAACAATAAATACAGTGAAAACAGGGGTTATACCGTGGGGGAAGCCATTTAATTTTGAAGTGCTCGGGCTGGAACCTAGGGCTTTGAATTTCTAGGTAAGTGTTCTACCACTGAGCTGCATCCAGCACTGTATTTGTTCTTTCCATGAATGAAACAGTGCTGTCCATCACTGTCCTTTGTGGGCAGAACCTTATTTGAAGTATGCATATGTATCTTTTGTTCTGTTCATAATAGAACTAACCATCCTCTCTGCCTCCTGGGATGTAAACAGTCAAGGCTTACTTCCTCATTGTTAGTTTATAAGAACTGTTGGCTCAGGATGCATTTCCTCTTGGGCTGCATCCTCCATCAGATTAGGGTTTATCTCTTGCTCTCCCCCCTCTGACCCTTCCAGTCTCCTCTTTTCCTAGTGCTGCTGCTTTTGATGTAGGTGGTAAGGAGCAACATTGCTTTCCATTTAGGAAAAAGAAGTCACTACAGACACAACTATAGACTACAGACACAAACTACATGGACAACAAACTTAAACTCAACTTTATGTAACTCTGGAGCAGAAGCTAAAACAAAATTCCATCTGTCTTACAATGTCCCCAGGACGTGTTCTTGAATTAGAGTCCTGCCTTTTAATGAGTTGTATGTTTTCTTGTCATTGCTCTGAAGTGCTTTAAAGGTACTCACAGGTGGGGCTGGGAAGGTGTCTCAGTGGTAGAGTGCTTGCCTTGCATGCATGAGGCTCTGGGTTCAATTCCTCAGCACCACATAAGCAGAAAAAGCCGGAAGTGGCAGTATGGCTCAAGTGGTAGATCGCTAGCCTTGAGCTGAATTGCTGAGAGACAGTGCTCAAGCCCAGAGTTCAGGCCCCACAACCAACACAGGTAAGGTGATATCTCCATGAGACAGTTAAAGAATGTAGAGCAGCGGCTTATATTCATAAAATCACCTCACTGGATCTTGTGTCTCCTTCCTGCTCTTGGACTAACTAGACACTTCATTCAGTTAAATCAGAAGTCCATTCTGATTGGAAGCTTTCAGCCTGTGATCATGGAACAGTATTATGGCTGCTACCCCCAATAATGATAATGAATAATGCTTTTTGAGGAGCTTCCTTTGGGTCAGCCATTTGCTAGGTGCTATTCATTAGTTTTCTATTCATTGGTTTTCTTATCACCCATTGGATCTCCGCAGTAATCCCATTTCAGAGTCTAGGATACCAAGGCCTGGCAATATATGACAGTGTTCCTGAATGGTAAAGAGCATCTAGGCCTCCTACTAGATTGCTTTGTGCCATTTCAGTGAGCCAGCATAATGGGCTGGAGAGGGCTCAAGTGGTAGAATGCCTGTGTAGCAACTGTTCCAGCATATATATGGGTCTGTCTGTATGAGATGGGAAAACAACCCTGATTTGTCTCGCTGCCTTTCCCTTCAGACTTTTATTGGACGTTTTCGCCGCATCATGGACTCCTCGCAGAATGCCTACAATGAAGATACTTCAGCACTGGTAGCCAGGCTGGATGAGATGGAAAGGGGCTTATTTCACATAGGACAGAAAGGACTAAATGACTTTCAGTGTTGGGAAAAGGGTCAGGCTTCTCAAATCACAGCTTCCAACCTTGTTCAGAATTACAAGAAGAGAAAATTCACTGACATGGAAGACTGAAAATCTAAAGAGCACAGAATTGCTCTTAGGGGATTTATCCCTTGGGTGATAAGACCTGAATGACCTTGAGATCAAATCATGTTCCATTTTATAGTTTCTAACCTGCAGCAATCTCCAGAGTTGGGATTGTCTGGTGGGAAGAGGATGATCTAAAGGGTGCCCTGATCCTGTAAGTCTTCCAGGATTTTCATACCACTGGACCCACTGCCCAGACCTTTGGACCCAAGAGAAATCCATTTGTCTTAAGTAATAATCCAGTCAAGTTGGAACTGGGCTTCCTGTGTGTGGAAGTAGGACAGCCTCAGACGTCCACTTTCATTGGCAACAGTAGACATAAACAAAGTGGGTCACTTTCACCTGTTCACAAAGTGTTCTCTTGAGCTTGTTCATCCTCCTCATGGTTGAACAAAGGATAGCATCCCTGGCATGCTGTCCTGCCTTGAAAATATTTCCTGCAACCTGCCAGTGGGGAGTTACCCAGTTTCCAAAACAGTCCCAGGATGAAGGAGGACAAAGGAAAGACAGATGAATGGCATGGCAGGAAAGAATATGTTGCTTTCAGGTCCTGGAGTCTATAGTCAGCTGCAACCAACCCAGGGGGGACTTGTGAAACAGCCCCTGCTGTCACCAGGATCTTGGGGGCACCACACATTCCATTCCCTGACTAGAAACTGTCAGGCCATCATTTGGAATTTCAAAGTAGTCTATTAAAGGGTGTTATTGCATCTGGAGTCAGGACTGGAAGGTTGTGGGTTATGAAGAGTCCTGTTTGAGAAACCTAGTATGGGGGCTGGGAAGGTGGCTCAGTGGTAGATCACTTGCCTTGCATGCATGAGGCCCTGGGTTCAATTCCTCAGCACCACATAAGCAAAAAGAAAAAAGCCGGAAGTGGCACTGTGGCTCCAGTGGTAGAGTGCTAGCCTTGAGCTGAAGAGCTGAGGGACAATGCCCAGGCTCAGAGTTCAGGCCCCACAGCTGGACCCAAAAAAAAAAGAGAGAAACCTAGTATGGTAGATGTTTAAGTGAATAAGGGAAGAGACCTTGATGGTATATTTTTCCTGCAGAAAGTTCTGCATTATTTTTTTTCATTTTCTCTGCATTTAAGTAGGCTTATGTATCATAACTGGAAAGCAAATCCAACATACTAGTATGTCAAACAGTTGTTACATTTTGAACAACTCATTTGAGGTCCATTATGGAATTCAGAATAGATTCCAAAAATGGTCACTAACACAACCCCAGTTTCCTAAGTTAAAGGAAACCATCTTTTCAAGTGTCTCACTCATTTTCCACAGCCAATTGTTTTGTTCCAGTTATCATAAAGCTCTAGAAGGATACACAGTTCTAAAAGCATTTTCAAAATCAACATAAGCTGTGGGTCAAAGTTGATCTGGTGTCATGGTAGCAATATCAGCCATGTGTAAACTAAATGGGAGCCAGCAAAGCTGAGTCATGCCTGCTCCAGAGAACCCTTCCAACTGCTGGCCTACCTGTACAACTTCATCTTCACTGGGGCAGCACTGCTCCTTGAACATCAGATTGGTTGCCATCTGTTTCCTGGCTGAAGCTCCTCTAATCCACCACTGAATAAGGCTTTTAGATAATGGCCATTGTCTTCTGTTTTACTAAAAGCCTTATTCAGTGGTGGATTAGAGAAGGCATCGACAGTTCCAGAACCATAGAAAGACCTATTAAGAATATACTTAGTCCTATATTGGCTTTAGGAGAGTTGTGATTTTGCTTTCGGTGTTTCTGAATAATGGCATGATATGGAATTTTGCAGTGGCTGACTCACCTAAGGACGGCCAGGAGGTAAGCAAGTCTTAGTGGTGTTGGACAGTGGGGCATTAGGCAGGATATATCCAAGGTTGCTCTCTGCATTATCTTGGGTCCAATTTCTGTCAGGACTTGACTCAGTAAAAAGTCAACTCCTCTAGAACCTCTACAAACACTAAACTTGGGGAAAATCAAAGACAGCAGCCTCCTTATGGAGTACTATTGAAGCCTTAGCAGGGTCCAGAAGAGAATCCTTCATTTTCTTGCCCACTTGCATATCTTGTACATTCACCATTATTTATTGACAATCCAGGTCGCCACTTCTCACTGTTAGTGTGCTGAGATCTTGCCAAAGCTATGATGTTTTCTGCCTAGTTATTCAGGCCAGTTTCAGCATTGTCAGAATCAGTATTGCAGAATATTTCTTGGCATACTTGAACAGTTCAGTAGCACAGACCTGGGAGATCTCAGTTTGCCCAAGCACATTGAATGTGCAGCACCTGTACATAGTATGCACCTGTTTTGATGTACAAGTACCAGATGTAACTGTAAAGTAATTCTGCCATTCGCTCAGATGCACAGACCTAGAGCTAGAGGTCTGCATGTTGAAGGGTCTACAGCAAATGACCAAGTTGAAGAGCAATCAGCACTGCATGTCACACTGCTGGTTATAAACAATACCACAAGTCGTGTCCAGTTTCATTCCAGGTTCTTTGCCCTTCACCATGTTCGCATTGCTCTTTGATAACCTGCAGCTGGCTGGGGCTCCAGGTGTCTGAAAAGCACAGGTTCCCTGAGTTCTGCATATTGCTGCATAGAGGACCCTGACCATTTACTGGGAATCTGTTTAAGCCAAACCAAATGCTTTCTGACTAAGAAACAGGATTTCCTGGGATATATTGGACAGTGGACCCTTTCTCCACACTACTGTGCCCCCTCTCCTGATAGCTACAACTTGGAGAAAATTGCTTTTGTTGGAAATTTTACAAGGATTTAGGCATTTAGATCATACAGATATAAGCTTAGAATGACAGACATATGTTTAAAATGCCTGTTTTAGGATAAAGTTGTTTTTATGATTTAATTTTAGGGCTTAGATGATCAGGTTTTCCTACAAATTCATTCTATACAAGTACTGTTTCTAGCTCCAGGACTGCAAGTGTTCTGCAAACCATCCAAAAATTTTGTCTTTGATCCTGTGACAATAATACCCAAATAAATACTTGTTTTAATAATTGCTGTTTTGTTTTTTTGGGGTATGCCATTTTGATTGTTACCACCTCCATTCACAACTCCATTTTTCCTTCTGCTCATACAGCCTTAGCATCCTGCCAGACCTACCTTCTCACTCCCTCTTAGGTTTTACCTTTAAATCCTTTACAGACTCTGACCATCTCTTATTCCCCCTAGTGCTGTCATGTGGGTCCAGGCTCCCAACATTTCCTTTCTGGACTGCTGACATCATCTGTCTCTCCACATCTACTCTCCAGCCCTCCTTCATATTGTTACCATGCTAGCTTAGATGGAGCTAGGGCAGAAATCAAATCTTGCTGGGCACTGGTGGTTCATGCCTGTAATCCTATCTACTTGGGAGGAAAAGGATCACCGTTTGATGTCAGCCCAGGCAGAATAGTTCATGAGACCCTTTCTCAACCCACAGCTGGGGGCAAAGGTGCACCAGCAGGTGTAGGAAACTGAGAACAAGAAAATTGTTCCAGATCAGCCCAGGTAGAAAAGTCTGCAAGACTCCATGGGAAGTTTGGTGGTGTGTGTATGTGATCCCAACAACAACCAGGAACCTAAAAGGATTGAGGCTCAGATGAGCACCCCTTTCTCAAAATAACAAGTGAAGGGATAGGCAAGGCGGAGAATTATGGAAAGGGTGACACTGATCAAGATGGATTGTACTCAAGAATTGAAACTCCTTTTTACAACTATTAAAGATAATTTTTAAAAAATCTTATAAAACAGCTGGAGGGCTGTAAGCACAAGGCCTTGTATTCAAATACAGGTACTTCAAAAAAAAAAGATAGTTGTCCATTCTGCTCAAAGCCCTCCCATCTCTGAGAAGAGGGCTCACACAGATATGTAGCCCTATTTTTTTAAGTGACTTTATTCCATTGATCCATTAATCTGCTTTAGCAGAATCAATATTCTACCTTCTCCCTAAGAGAATTCTGAGCACCTCACAAAGTGACTTGAAGCACTTGGCACCATAGGCCCAGATTGCTCTGAAGTAAACTGTAATAAAGAAGTGTTAATCGACTCATTCAAACTATACTGAGGTCATTTCTAGGGTGCAGGCATAGCTAGAGCACTTGCCTAGCAGAGGTGAGGCCCTAGGTTCAATCCCAAGTACTGTTTAAAAAAAAAAAAGCTATTTCATATCTTTTTTATTCTACCATCCTTTAAGAAACCCCTTAGAACTGGTTATCTTTATGTTGAAACAACGGGCTGTAATTGTACCAAGACTGCCTTCAGTGAAAAAAACAAAAAGTGCAAGGTCATATATGTATGTTCCTGAAAGTAGATGTTTTTGTGTTCAAGAGGAAAGTCTGTACTTCAAGGACCTGGTCGAACAAAATATATAATACACATATAAGGATTACTCTATGCCAGGTGCCTGTAATCCTAGCTATTTAGGAGGTAGAGTTCTGGATGTTCATGGTTCAAAGCCAGCATGTACAGAAAAGTATCTCCAATTAACTACCAAAAAGCTGGAAGTGGAGCTATGGCTCAAGTGGTAGGGCAGTAGACTTGAGCAAAAATGCTAAAGGAAGGCTGGGAATGTGGCTTAGTGGTAGAGTGCTTGTCTAGCATGCATGAAGCCCTGGATTGGATTCCTCAGTACAACGTAAACAAAAAGCTGGAAGTGGTGCTGTGGCTTTTTTGCCATGAACAAAAAAGCTCAGGGACAATGCCCAGGCTCTGAGTTCAAGCCCCATATGCACTGTAACAATGATATACATCAACTTAGACTCATGTAGACTTTACCAGATTTTCCACTAATGTCCTCTCTTGCTTCAAAGTCCCACAATGCATTTAGAAGACAATCGTTTTTTAAAGTAAAACACCATCTAAGAGCTAGCGGCATAGCTCAAGTGGTAGAGCACTTGCCTAGCACACATAAGGCCCTGAGTTCAAATCCCCAGTACTAACAAAAACCAAAAAATAACTAAAAGCCCAGCATTGAGGTCATTGCTGTATTCCAGAAAACAGCTTAGTCAAGCAGATTCATAAGGAAGGAAGAGACGGTGCAATGTGCTTTTCCCCTAGATTTTTTACTTTTTCCCTAGGACCTGCATTTGACAGAAAGAGGCCTCTGTGGCTCAACTTAAAACTTCAAATATTCTCTCTCTGACAATCAGAAACGTGATTGTCTCCCCCTTTCTCTCCCAACACCCTTGAGCTAATTTTCCTTGTGTCTAAATGAGTTTAAAACAAGCACCACTTTATACACCAACATTATTAACAAGTGTCAGCACAGCTCTGAAAATAGTGCCTGGGACTCTCGTGTTTTAGAATTCATAAAGGAGCCCAGAGACACAGCTCATCTTGCAAACTCCCACCATGGCTAATTACAACAGCAAGCCAGCCTTACAAGGTTTAGAACATTTTCTGCTCCCATATCACCCTTGAAAGAGTTTGCCTGATTGCCACATGATTTGCATGTCTCACTTTGCACAACTAAAAATCTTACTTAAGAACTTTTCCCCCCTCCTTTGGACACACAAAAAAAGCAAATAACTAGCTAAGGAATATAGCCCAAGTGGTGGGTGAGTGAAGGATATTGTGATCTCTGAAGGAAAAGTGTGGCAGGATTGTTTTGAAGCTTGAAGAAAGACTGGAGACAGAAAATCTCTTGCAGTAGGATCCAAGGACAAAATGACAACGATCACTCCGGTGTTGCCTTATCTTAATGCAACCAAGAGGGCCTGGCGCTTATCGCTGTTCAGAAGCAGAACATTTGAAAAAAAAGTTTGATGGGGCCAAGAAGGTGGCTCAGTGGTAGAGCGTTTGCCTTGCATGCATGAGGCCCTGGGTTCTATTCCTCAGTACCACATAAGCAAAAA